TTCTAGCCTTGTTAGATCTCAGTGCTGCTTGTAACATGGTTGATCACAATGTTTTTTGAGAAAGGCTCTAATGGGCTCGACACACGGGAGGCGACAAACGACCGCAATCAGCGAAATTTGTCGCTGTCGCTTTTGTTACCTGACACACGGGAGGCGATCCGCGGCAGCGGCCAGTGGCAAAGCCATCTATGCGTTCTGTTCCATGGTGAAATCGAAACTTCCGTTGTTTTGCTTGGCTGTGTCAGGTTGGAGGGAATTGAGGTTATTTAAGAGGTTCAGAGTTAATAAATCGGTAGATATGATGTTTCACAAGGTGCTGCTAGAGTTATGTGAAATCGTACTTGTGATTTTACTATATAAAACATAATAATAATCAACTTCTCCTCCATGTTTGCTCGAAGATGAACGGAGCATCCTGTCCGCTCATTGGTCAGTGAATGAAACTTCCGTTGATTGGTCTTCGTCCGAGCGACAGCGATGAAAAGTTGAAAATATTTCAACTTTCTGGGATTGCGTCACTGGGTCGCCTGTGCACGCCACGTGCACGAGCGCAAAATTTCACACGCACGTTTTTTGTGTTTCGCTTGGTAGGAGGGAGACCTGCGATTATCGCTTTGTCGCTCATGTCTCATTGAAAATGAATGGAGGAGAGGCGATGTTGCCTCCCGTGTGTCGAGCCCATTAGATGTTGTAGGGATCAAAGGAACAGCGCTAGGCTGGTTTACATCCTGCACAACAGATTTCATTTTGTTAATGTACATGATAAATCTTCATCATATTCCAGGGTTACTTGCGGAATACCACAGGGTTTAGTGATTGGACCAATTCTTTTTACTATATATATGCTTCCAATTGGTAAAATCATTAGACAGCATGGGATAAACTTCCACTGTTATGCTGACGATACTCAGTTATATTTATCCATTAGCCCAGATGAACCTAATCGGTTAGGTAGATTATTGGCTTGTCTTGAAGACATAAAAAAATTAGATGACTCTAAACTTTCTGCTTTTCATCTTTGGACTGGAACTTCAAAAAAGGAAACTGCATAGTCAAATACCTGACCTGAACTGCATTAAATTAGTCTCCGAGGACAAAGTAAGGAACCTTGGTGTTATCTTTGGCCAGGATATGTCATTCAAATCCCACATTAAACAGGTTTGTAGGATTTCCTTCTTGCACTTTTGGACTATTGCTAAGATTAGAAGCATCCATTCCAGGAGTGATGCTGAAAAACTAGTTCATACATTTATTACATCAAGACTGGATTACTGTAATTCATTACTATTAGGGAGTCCAAATTGAAAATTTATCGTAATCAAAATTTCTGACTGTTATCGAGATAATTTTTCTCATGTCGATAAATTTGATAATTTAAAAAAATGAAAGAGTAGGTTGGCAATGTTCGTGTCCCTTTAAGAAGCTGTACCACCTTGAGTCATGTAAAAAGGTGACTCAACATAAATCATGTGACAGCCCCATCTAGTGGACAACATTTGTTTCTGCGCGTACCTGTAGTTATTGTCCATTTATCGTGATTGAGGTGAAATCCTCAATATTTCGTGATATTGATTTTAGGCCATATCGCCCAGCCCTGCTTCAGCTTGTCCAAAATGCTGCAACTAGAGTTCTGATGAGAATTAAAAAGAGAGATCATATCTCTCCTGTCTTAGCTTCCATACATTGGCTGTCTGCTAAATTCAGAATAGATTTTTAGATCCTCCTTCTCACATATACAGTAAAGCTCTTAATAATCAAGCTCAATCATACATCAGTGACTTGATTGTTCCATATGTTCCTAACAGAACATTTCGCTCTCAGATTGCAGGTGTAACAGAATGAAATGACTGTTTTCCACCTAAAAGTCAACCCAGTTTATAAAAGCCGGCTGTTGCAGCGCTCCGCCAATGATGATGGCAACCATAGATCAAGGCAGATCAAGGAAGCGCAATTTCACAGAAGCAGAAATTGAGGTACCTGTGGGTGAGGTGGAGAAATGAAAGGAAGTGCTTTTGCAAAACAAATAAGAGAAAATTCACGGAGTGGCACAGCGTTGCTGAAGCCGTCAATGTTTGTGAGTTCTTCAGAGAGATCTGTGGCAGATATAAAAAAAAATAGCACTTTGAGATTACTTCTGTAATGTAAAGCGCATTATAAATAAAATGTATTATTATTATTAAAATAGTCCAAATGGGATTTGATCCCCAGACTCCCAGGTGAAAGTCATGCACACTAACCTGTCAGCCAAACGGAGATCTCCCCTATCCAAGTAACCAGGGCACATGACCAATCAGGTCACAGTGACAGGACACACAAGGTCACAGATGCATGACATTCTGTCTCAATCTGTCCCCCTGCTGATATTCTGCATTCCATATTCTGCACTTCAGGCTGTGTGTGTGTGTGTGTGTGTGTGCACACGCGCGCATGTGTGTGTACGTGTGGGGGTCTTGTTCTGTGTGAAAATGAAGCGGTACAAGTGATTATGCTGCTGGATTTCAAAATTGTATCCTTCTCAGCAGCAGCACTACATGTGCTCTCCATATCCAAAATGTGCATAAGCCAGGTCCTTAGTCAAATAAAGTTGCGCACATTTTTTGCACACAAGTTTTCTATCATAAATCCCAAAGTTTGCGTGGAAAGTTGCTTACGCAGTTTTCCGACCCTGTTTTGTGCGTAAGCAAGCTTCATAAATTAGGCCCCTGAACTGTATTGGCATGTTTACTTTGTGAAGTGCCTTGAGATGACTCTTGTAGTGATTTGGTGCTATATAAATAAACTTGAATTTAATTTAATTGAGCAACTAGTTGTTTGGCTGTCAGTGTTGAGTGCGGCTTTCGGAGTAACCCTTCTTCTTGCATTTTCAACTGCCCGAGTCATGTCGTGAAGATCCTGATGGCAAAGAGGATCCTGTCCGCTTCCTCAGCCAACGAGCGGTAATCCCTCAAAAACGGGGAGTTGGTGAGGCTGGCCTGCAATGGAACAGGCAGTCATCACAGGAAGAGGTGCATGAAGAGGAATCTATCACTTTGGGAACCATACAGGGACAACATGCTTTCCATAATCTCCAGAGCCGTGCCATCGCCCAAGCTGTCGGGGGAAATGTGTCGCTTGACCTATTCTGCCCCGGAGAGGGAGAAACATCTTTCCAGCAGCTGCTTCAGAGATGTGTATTTCCTTGAGCCAGAGGATCCTGAATCAAGCTCATGACCCAGCGGGTGGACAAAGGATCTAGTAAAGCAACCATGTGGTGGACCAAGACTGAGAATCACAGGAGGAATGCAGGGACGGTACAAGGTAGTTCTGCTCACATCCTTTATTCACTAGTGAGTCCGCACAAAAGACATACAAATCATGTCTCCTCCTACACATGTCACAAGGGTGTGAGTGAAGCCCCCTGGTGGTATGCCACACTATTCTATTTTATAACCTGTATGCATGTGTTGAGCACATTTGCATAACAATGGTTGTAGTTAAGGTACTGTTGAGAAGAGATAAAACGGAAGCAGCTCCTTTGTTTTTTTGTGTATGAATCCCTTGGACAGAATAGGGAATGTTAATTAAGTTTTCCGTCTCCTTATTCCATTTTGAACATTAATGTTTAAGCAATTTTTTTTAAGGTGCTACCTACTTTAAGTCAAATTTTGACTTAACTGTATGGATACTGAGTTTTCTGATTTGTGTTGTAATAGTTTTGTACATATTTTATTGAAAAGTAGTTACAGTAAATAATAAAACTATTTTGGCTGCGCAGGGGCGCAGTGGTCAGAGCTGTTGCCTTGCAGCAAGAAGGTCCTGGGTTTGATTCCCGGCCTGGAATCTTTCTGCATGGAGTTTGCATGTTCTCCCTGTGCATGCGTGGGTTCTCTCCGGGTACTCCGGTGTCCTCCCACAGTCCAAAAACATGTCTGTTAGGTTGATTGGTCCGTCTAAATTGTCCTTAGGTGTGTGTGTGTGTGTGTGTGTGTGTGTGTGTGTGTGTGTGTGTGTGTGTGTGTGTGTGTGTGTGTGTGTGTGTGTGTGTGTGTGCATGGTTGTTTGTCCTGTGTGTCTCTGTGTTGCCCTGTGATGGACTGGCTCTCTGTCCAGGGTGTACCCGGCCTGATTGCCCGTTGACTGCTGGAGATAGGCACCAGCACCCCCCGCGACCCTACGTGGACTAAGCGGGTTCAGAAGATGGATGGATGGAATAAAACTTTTTTTTGCAGTGATTAAGTAGGGTTTTATTAATATGCAAAGTTTTATAAATGAGGCCCCTGATCCTTAGGCCACCAAAGTGTATCCCCTGCTGCACCTAAAAATCCTGTCCATAAAATAAGGAACAGAATCAGTGACAAAGGATAGGGTTGCCTTGGCAGAGTCCAGCTGTCAAAATAAAAGTGTGGTAAAGAGACCCTTGATGATAAGATTGCATTACTAGATAGTTACATTCCCGCAATGAATGTGTCCAATGTGCCAGTGATGCCCATCTGAGATGATATGGTCTCTCATCACCCTGTTCTTATTTTTGGTAAAATACTATTTTTTTAAATCATAGTTGGAATTTGCATAAAAACTAAACATTTTGCTTAAAAGACTAACGTTCACATTTTATTCTGAAATTATATGTTTAACTTCATTATTTGGATTTGTCTTAAACATTTAGACACAATTCTGCAATTAGAATTCTCAAAACAAATGCAGTGAAAAGTGACTTAAACGTCTCACGTCTCATTTTATTGTTTAGAGGAGCTAAATTTGACAAACAGTAGGTGCATTAACATTACTTACATTGCTTTGGTCTCATTTGTACACAGATTTTCGTGGGAATTTTTATATTATATGTTATGGTATACATGATGTAACATACTATGTGACATTATATTATATTATATTATATTATATTATATTATATTATATTATATTATATTATATTAATATCAGCCCGTCCCCTTCGAAAAAGCGACGTCATTTGAAAACGTTGCTAAACTGTGCCGTGAAAAAGCGCATTTGCTCTTGAACGTGCCCCGGCTCTTATTGTGCAGCCGAGGAAACGTCCGAAGGTTTCGACGGCGTCGGTATGAAATGGCAGAAACAGTCTGTGTCGCGGAAGCACTGAGATTAGCTTACATTGAAGCTACACATGCATCGTGTGGTGATCCCGGTCAGCTAAATTGAGGCTAGCGGGAGGTTGTCCGGAGGAAAAGTGGATTAAAGGCCAGTATTTCCTGGCCCAAAACAAGCCCCCGTTCTGCTTTGGTCCCCGGCTGGCAGCGACTCGAGCGGCGACTGCAGGTCGACACTGCTGGACTCAACCGGAGAGGGGTGAGCTGCGGAAGCTTTTTTACGTTTTATTGTTTGTTGTTGGGGGACAAAGAATGGCTAAAGGCGGAATCAAAATGTTGCTACAATAATATTTTAGGTAACCCCTCCAGCAGGCTGAACAGGTCTGGCCTAAAGGGTACCGGGCAGCCAGGCTGAGTGACTACTCACTTTACAAGAGGAACATTTTTTGTGCCTCACACACACTTTAGCTCAATTTTACACTGTAAATAAACACCGGCTCGTGTTTGAACAAGTGAAATGTTCAGCTGGGACGACGTGACATTTAGCCCGTGCTCATAAACCCAGAATAACAGCCTTCATGTGAACACAAAGCAGTCGTTGACGCATTGAATGCAGCTCGGTTCTACCTAACATCAAGTTTTACAGCCTTCAGCGTGACTGAACACTCCACACGCCGGGGGAGGTGGGCTTATCAGATATTGTTACCTTGGCGTATCTCCCAAAAAGAGACGCTGTTGCATTGAAGGAGGAGATCAGCCCGCTTTTGTAGGAAAAGTGAGTTTTTAGGTGTGACAACCCTGCAGAATGCTTAAAGCCAACAACATATCTTCGGAGTCTGATCACACTAGTTGTTGGCAAGTTGAGACTCACAGGTTTCAACTTGAGTGTCTCCTGTAAATCCACCTTTTTTATTGATCTGACATGCTTCTGTTGTCCTGACGGGGCCTTGTTGCTGCAGAAAAGGTCCAAACGCACCAGGAAATCTGACTCCTGCACCAAACGGTGAAAGGTGGTGCGCAGAGGTGGAATTGTTGGGTCTAAACAACATTTGTCTAGTTTTTGAACAAACTGAGCCAGTCATGTCTTGGGTCCTGACTTCCTGAACAGGGTGAAGTGGTGTGATGGAGTGGAGTGAGAAAGTCACAGGGGAAAATGATTTTGTAGCTTCTCCTGCCTCTGTTCTGTTGCTGTGTCAACAGCTTGGGCTTCATGCTTATCTTGCAATCTCAAATGCACTGATTCTGGTTTAGAAGGCCAATCCAGATTTCTGTTTTATGTACAGCTTTGAGCTCCAGGTATTGGTTTTGTTGGATTCTCATAAAGTACATTTAGTAGATAATATTTCTGTAACTTCCTAACTAGCTTGAAAATTGTGGTCTGAAGTGAAAGTGTGTACATGAAAGAACAATGTTTACCGTAAATCCTCTAATACAGGCCCGGGCCTGTATTTGACTCAAGCTCATCAAGCTCCAGGCCTTTATTGGAAGGAGGGCCAGAATTAGAGGCAGGCCTCAATTTCTATTTGAGCAAAATGAACTAATGGTTCGCTGGAGTTTTTGACAATTAAAATTGCGCCCACATTTTCAAAGTTAAACACATTTCTTTTAACAACTGTAGTTTCTGCTTCAGCCATCTCCCCCCTACCCTTGCGCAGCGGCCTCAAACTCACTGATGCGCCTGCAGCCTCTTGGAGTTCCTGCTGCTCTAAACATTAAAATAATTATTTCATTTTCTGTTCCTCACTTCTGATTACCTTCAGTGGTGTCTGTTTGTTGCAACCACCAGGTACAAAAACAAATTTGTTTTTATTTGACTATTTTTCTGTCCTGTTTGTTTATTATCTTCCTGCATCTCCTCTAAATCCTAAAGAAAAACTGCTACCTGGGTTCATATATATTCACCTTATGAGTTACCTTTGAACTGCAGTTCTAAAAGATCTACCGACCGCAAAAACAGCGGAGTGCTCGCTGCGCGCCAGCCGCATCAGTGAGGTGCATCACCGGAGGACAAAACAGGTGATGCGCCCCGCTCCACAGCAGTGAAAAGCATCAGGCACAAATAAGACAGAAAACATAAAAGGAAATGAGCCGACATGAACGATCGCGTGTTAAATTAGTTTTTGAGGTGGCAACACCTGATTTGATAATGTTACTGTGGCCATGTTCAGGACGCAGATGTCTGGAGCACGTCAACAATCAGAGCTTTGCATGCGCAAGCTGGCTAAGGTTAGGATGGGGGTGAGGGGAAGGTTAAATTGCAAGAGGGTAAAGGTCATAATTTGGTTAAATGTCAGTTTTACGGCGGGTGTCAGTACCGACGCTCTGGCACAGCGCGTTGCTTCCCGACACGCAGGAGCTTGTCACCTGCTGACAGCAGGCTGCTGTCTTTTCCGAGGACTGCGTCTTGCCGGTCATTATCACGTGACAGCGACTAGTCGATGACAGGCATAAAAAGTCACTATAGTGAAGTCGACTAGTTCATACAACCCCTATTGCTCCCCAGAGTGTTCTGCAGCATAATCAGCACGTTCTCTTTGAACTTGATATCAAATTTTCACCTCCTCTTCGTCTCCGCACCTGCCATGGTTAAAGTGGCCCTCGCGGTCTGTCACTGGCAAATCAAAAGTGAGACGGATGACACAACCGCCCCCCTGTGGTACTTGCTTGTTACCACATTCCACCCGGCCACAATAAAAAAACGGCCATTATTCACCTCCGCCGACTCCGACCAAAATATGATACCCGGCCGTTAATTGAATACAGGCCAATATTAGAGGATTTACGGTATGTATTCGGCAGACGCTTTTATCCAGATCAATTTACAAATGAGAACAATGGAAGAATAAAAGATATTTTTTCTATTCTTACTTGGCCCCAATGTGATTTCTTGGGTTCAGACTGGCTGATCAACTCATTTTTCTTAGGGATGCACCGATGGATCGGCATTTGATCGTAATCGGCCGATAGTGCCCCTATCGGTTTTGATCGGAATTTTCAAAATAGATCAAAGCAGACCGATCAGCTAGGGTTGTCAACGGTAACCAGTGTAGCGGTAGACCCCGTAAAAAAAAAAGTTGACAATAATAATAACCGTCTTGTTTTTTAAAAAACTATATTATCTTGGTGGGTTTACCGTGGCTGCAGTGTAGGCGCGGTGACCCCTACCAGCCACCGTATCATCGGCTGAAGTTGCCGGCGGCACATGCGCGCTTTGTTGTTTACAACCAAAACTTTCTTGAAGCTAAAGCTAAAATAATGGTCAAAGGAGGAGACGACAGCGCTCAGGAGGACATTTATTATCCCTCAAAGAAGACAAAGTTGGAAGTACAGGCATATTTTAGATATTTGAAGAATGCCGAGGGAGTTCATAGAAGACGGCTATCCTGTTTGCAGCACATGCAGAAAAAGTGTCTGTGAAAGGCAGCAACGCTTCAAATCTCATGACACATCTGCGTGACCATCACCCACAACTCTACAGTCAACGCAAGGCAAGTTAACGTTAGCGTTTTAGCTAAAATGCGTGACCCGAGGATTTGGGTTGAGGGAGAATGCAACGAGTCGCTATAAATAGCAGCCGCAGCGCCGCTACCTGCATATAAACCGTGTCGCGGACACCCCCATGTTGAAATGATGCTATGCATTACGGGGCTCCCAGGGGCAGATAAGAGTTGGTCTCTCTCCGAGAATAATTATGAATTTAACAATGATTACTGCCTGATGACGTTTTCCCAAATCTGCAAAGCTCACTGGAAGGACACAAGCCGAGGACAATATTTTCCTGATATAGGGTTTATTACTCAAGTAAGGGTAAAAAAGTATCTGATTAGAAGGGTACTTGAGTACTGAGTATCATCTGATCTAATATTTTTAAATGATGATCAAACAGACATAAAATAAGAAGTTATGGGCAAATATAGGTATTTTAAAGACTAAAGGGAAAAAATGTAAACAAATAAACAACATAATTACAAAATAACACATTTTAGGCTAAATGGAATGGAAGTGAATCGGTGCTCGGTCGGTACTGTGGAATTCGGTCGGTACCTTAAAAAGTACCAAATTTGGTACCCATTCCTACTCCGGGATACCATGTCTAGGGCACCGGTATGTGACCGTTCTGTTACTGCCATCAGAGGTTTGGTAGCATTTCAACAAATTAGGTGATTTGATCAAGATCGATGGGAAGGCTAAACCGAGCGGCTCACCGGATGAAGTGATGCCAACGCGCCTCTTTCCAGTACTCGCCCCTTTAATATTGCACATAATTAACATGAGTCTCAGTTCTGGTATAGTCCCTGACGATTTCAAAAAGGCGGTTATTCAACCTTTGCTCAAAAAGCCTGGACTGGATGCTTCGCTGGCTGAAAACTACAGGCTGATTTTGAAACGTCCATTCTTAAGTAAGGCACTAGAGAAATGTGTTTAGCACCAGCTCTTGGTTTTTATGGATGAGAATACCATTTTTGAGACTTTCCAGTCTGGCTTCAGAGCTCTACACAGCACGGAGACTGCACTGGTTAGAGTGCTCAATGACATTTATCTAGTGACTGATAGCGGTAATTCTGTGTTGTTACTTCTGCTGGACCTCACGGCAGCCTTTGACACGATAGATCATGAAGTGCTGCTTCATCATTATGTCAGGATTTCAGGGTTAGCCTTGGAGTGGTTTAGATCATAGCTGACAAATAGAAAAATGTGTGTTTGGATGGGAAGTTATTCCTCAGAGTACTCTGATCTACCCTGGGGGGGTACCACACGGCTCGATATTGGGACCTCTGTTGTTTTCTGCTTACATTCTGCCCTTAGGTGACATCTGTCGTGAGCTTGGAGTTCAATTCCACCTATATGCTGGCGATTGTCAGCTGTACCTTCCTCTGAACACGTCAAGTGGTCTCTCTATTTCTATTCTTACTAACTGTTTGAGGGAGATCAAGACCTGGATGAGTGAACATTTTCTGAGCCTAAATGATCACATAACAGAGGCTATATTGTTTGCTCCAAGCATACATTATGACTCTTCCCTAACTGACTGTGGGTCATTCAATGGCCAGCTGACTACATCAGTGACTAATCTTGGTTTTAAACTGAATAGCGCCCTTAGTTTTGACACCCACATCAATGGAGTGATCTCCACCTCCTTTTTCCACCTTCGTCAGCTGGCAAAGATCAAACTATTTTTGTCGCGTCATGATCTTGAGACTGTAGTCCATGCTTCTAATGCGGTGCGATTGGACTACTGTAACTCTGTTTTATTCGGTG